GGAAAGGGTGTGTAGATTGCCTTTTCATAACTTCATAAGCAGTCAGATTCTCCGTCAGATGAGAAACCTGCAGGATATCGCTGCGGCCATACGAGAATATAGTTCGATATGCAGAACTTGTGGCTTGCCTTGTTGTTAACCATTGCGGGAAAATAAGCAGTTACTGAAGTAGTGTTCGAAAAGATGCAGGCAAACAACAAACAGACCGCATACTAAATGGTGAGGAGCAGTTCGGAAAAGAAGGGCCTGGCACAGTTATGCTAAATTTCTTAGTTGCATCATTGGAACTGAGCCTCCGGGGGTCTTGATATACCTGGGACAGATGTTCTTGTAATCGGATCTCCACGCAGGCAGCAGTTTTTCTGTCGAATACAGTCTTGTGCTTTCTACAGCTACACCACTCCAAACATTCGAGTTAATGTATTGCTTTCGCATTGGTAATTCGTGTGTCATCTGCCCATAGGCTGATCCAGGACGAACTTCTGGGAAAACCGGGGGGGCGGGGGAGGGGGGGAGGGCAACGGAGGGTGAGGAGGGTAGTCCCCTCCTTCCCTGGAACTATGCAAAAGCTAGGAATAGAGTTGTAACACTGCTACTTAGAGTTACTTAAGGCTTTAGTTTTATCTTTAAGCCTAGGCTTTTGCAGCACTGTTGTGTCGTTGCGGGCGGGGGTAGGCAAAAGACCCATCTCTCCCCCTCCCTCTTGTCCTGGATCAGTCTACGCATCTGTCTGTGCTGTGGCAGTTCATTAACTGAACAGTATTTTGCGCATGAAAAAAGGCATGCTATTCAAGTTTCCTAAGTGTGCTACAATTTATTAACTTTAGCTCTGTGCTCAAAACCAAAGATATCTTTTTACTTTTTTTGGAACTTTGGCAGCCAGTACCCAGCAAGCTGGTCTTTTTTTTTTGCATCTATGCAGTGTAAAAACGCATATTGGGGTTTTCTGTGTGTATGTGTGTGTGAGTGCATCTTTTCCGAGTTTGCATCTCGAAATTTGCAAAAGCTACAAGGTTGAAACTTTGGCTACTTAATCTACACGCACGTACGAGCCCCTTTGCTCAAAATGGGTACTCATACCCATTTGGCATTCACGTACGAGCACATAAAAATTTTTAGTGAGGAAGTTGCTAAATCGAGACCCAGAGAATCTAGAAAGCTGAAATTTTAGGGAAATGTTGACTGTCCGCGTACAGCCTGATGATTTCGGATTCAGCCCTCGGATGTGGTTCTCACGTATGGGCCTGTGAAAATTTTTGGCGAATAAGTCGTTAGTTTGGCAGTCAGAAAAGCTAGAAAGCTGAAATTTTAAGGGGATGTTTTCCGACATTCTGTGGTTGACAGTCTGTGGCCAGCCTCAATTCTTTTAGCTGGAATTGTCTGTCGGAAAAAAATAGTGTCGTTAGCAATAAAAACTTGCGGAGAACTGTAAAAAAAAAAAACGCATCTTCGCACCGGCATTCGGTGCGCTAGCCAATTGTTATGCGTTTTGCGTTGTGTGTACATACTCCTCTGCCTGTGTGTGGGTGTTTGTATGTGTGTGTGTGTGTGTGTGTGTCCGAGTGTATTTTGTCTATCACTTTCAACCCGAGAACTACAAAAGCTAGATGGCTGAGATTTTAGCAGAATATTTCTCGCTCATTTGCGGCGCTGAAAATTTAAATTCCCACCTTCCTCTTCGCCTGAGTATCACGTACGGCCGCATGAAAGCTGGCGAGGAAAATTATTATTTCGAGAGCCACGAAAGGTGGGGAGCTGAAATTTTAAGGTCAAGTTCTGCGCAGTGATGATTCAGCACATTTAAATTGAGCTTTCTCGTTCGTCTGAGACCACATATAGTCCAGAGGAAGTTTCGGCGGGGAAATTACTATTTTAGGAACCACTAGAAGCTAGGAGGCTGAAACTTTAGGGTACTTTCCACACGCGATTCCGCAATTTCGAGCTCAGCTTTCACGTTAGCCTAGGTCTTACGCACGGACCCTTGAAATTTTTGACAGGAAAATTATCTCGGGAGCGAAAAGAGCCTGGTGGCTAGAAATTCAGAAGGAACCTATCAAACTCAAATTCAGCTCGCAATATGACGAGATCTCACGTACGACCACGAAAGTTCTTGGGCGGAATTTATTCGGAAGCCGGAGGACTTGGCGCAAATTAGGGACTGAAATTTTAGCACAATTTTTAATGGGGAATTTCGCAGCTTAGGGATCAAGCAATATATCGATCATTTTCGCTCAGACTAAAGTGTAAAGTAATAGACCTACCAGGCAAACGTCCACTCGACAAAACTACGCAAAGCGCATGGTCATACTGGCTACCCTGGTGCGCGCCGTTCTATTTATTTTTATGCGTTTTTGCATATATGCAAATGTAAAAACGCGTATTGGCAAGAGACTGTCTGTATGTATGTGTGTCTGTCTGTCTGTGTGTATCTGTGCGTTCGTACTTTTTGTCACTTGCTTTCAACTCGAGAACTAGAAAAGCTAAGAGGTTAAAACTTCGGGAGTATATGCCCACACCATTTCCAACCCTCTCACTTTAATATCATCACCTCGTACGCCTGGGTCCCACATATGGGCGCCTTAAAAAAATATGCAAATTTTTTGGCAGGAAAGCGATCTCGAGGACCAGACAAGTTAGTGAGTTGAAACTTTGCAGTAATATTCCCTGTGCATATGTGACCTGCGGATTTCAAATTCACCCCCTAGGCGCCCGTGGTTCCCATGTAGGTGTGCGTGAAATTTTTGTCGGGAAAATTGCCAATTCAGCAGCCAGAAGAGCTGGAAGGCTGAGGGTATATTCGCCGTCCACGTACAACTCAATGACTTCAAATTCACCCCTCCCCCCGCGCACGCACGGTACCTTCGTGCGGGCATGTGAAAGTTTTGACAAGAAAATTACTAACTCGGGAACCAGTAAAGCTAGAAAGCTGAAATTTTAGGGGAATGTTCCCTGTCCAAGTACAACTTAAATATTTCAAACTCATCTTCCAGGTATACATGATTCCCACCTGCGGGCACTTCAAAGTTTTGACGGGAAAATTGCTCACTGAACAGTTAGATCATTTTCAACGGGAGACCGTTTAAACGGAAGTTGTTTATTTCCTTTATGCAAAATTTACAGTAATTTACGTTAGGGAGCGCAAAAGGTAGGGAAAAGCAACAACCAGTCATGAAGCTAACGAGCTGAGTACTTCAAGTCTGGTGCAAAAACACATGGTCGCACCGGCAAGCCTGGTGCATTCCAGCCTGGGTTCGCTGCTGTAGAGATGAATGTTGCCGTTGCAGACAACACTGCAAGACCACTTGAAAGTGCTGGCAGGAAGTGGATTCGCAGTCAATCAGCAGCAAGCAATTGCTTTACGACTTAAGGTATTTGTTACATTGCCTGCTGGGAAAGTACAAAATTCGAAAAAATGCAATTAAGGGAAGGAACTTCAGTTTTGGCACTGAGGTGCAGTGGTTTTGAGTAGTATATCCGCAGTGATTTGAATTGTCTCTGGTTCGAAGGTTACCTGCAGTCAAATAAACCAGTCCTCATTCATTCTGATGATGCAGTGTTGCTGGCCATCGTAGAACAATAGTCTTCAACTTTCTTTTTCATTACCTATGAAAGGGAGCCGTCGAAAACAGTCCCAGCGGTTAATTGATTTGAGAATCAGTTTGGCATTGATGCTTGCCATTCAAAAGCGCGAACCGGCGGGAAGGCGGGCTGTCACTTTGTGGGATTATGCTTCTCTTTTTTAGTACATAATGGTTTCAGAAAAATTTGATCAAGTTTTGTTTAGTTTCATTAGTAAAAATTTTTATGATTTAGAGGACTTGTTATATGTGGTGGACTGTGGTTTGGCGTGATGCGTTAACACTGTGCACAAACTGAGTAACAAAAATATGTTTATGACTTACTGATGATGAGGCATGCAAATAGTGGACAAATAATACATAGTCTGGTACCTGGAATCTGAAGACCGTAATGGCTTGCCAAACAAGAGGTGTAAAATGTTGAACAAACGAGTAGCAGGAGATTATGGTTAGCCCTCGAGCGTAGGAGCAGAAGTTCCGTTGATGGACGACGTTGGTCTTCCAGGAATGGTGGGGTTGAATATCCTACGAAGGGGGTGGAGCCGATGTCGAGACTGCCGTTGACGATGAAGACCTAAGACTCTGATGAGAGGGATGGATGACTTGTGAAACGGTGTAAGAACCTCCATAAGACGAAGTAATAATTTTTTGAAAGGGGTTTAAATGTCGAGTTGGTAAACAGATAGAAATAGATCGAAATAAATAGCAACGCGCACCAGACTAGCCGGTGCAATCATACGTTTTGTGCAATTCAGCCCATCGAACGACTGCCTATTAATGATTTTCACTGCTTTGTACTTTTGCGTATGCAAAAACAGTTCAAAAATTGGAAAATAGTTAAAAATTTCACGCACCAGCACATGAAAGCTGAATTTGAAACCTTGAAGGGTGAATATCATTCCGTGATTCCCTAGTTAATACTTTAGCCGCCAAAATTCTCACGAGGCCGTAGGTGATACTCAACAGCGAGGAAACGCTGAATTTGAATAAGCAAGGTTGAGCGTGGACAGGGAGTTATTACCCTAAAATTTCAGCTTCCTAGACCCTGTGGTTCCCGAGATAACAATTTGCCCGTAAAAAGGAGTGAAAGCCAAATAAGAAAGGGGCAAAAAATCTACAAATGCAGGTGCGTTCTTGTTTTGCACTGATGAAAAGGGATAAAAAAATATACAATATAATTTTTGTATCTTGGCATCATAGTTTAAGCACTGTTTCACGTTGCTTTCAGTGCATAGCGGATCACGTTATCAAATGTCTTAATAAATTTGGTTGGGCAGTTGTCGATAATTTTATTGGAGAAAACCATTGTTACCACGTACACCGGTAATAAATTGCTTTCGGTTCCTGTGCTTTAATAATGTTCAGAAATCGTAAGATGAATTTGGCTAGAATTCAGACAATGAAAGGATGTATTTCAGGGAAATGAGTTACCTGTATAGCCGCGGTGTCTTCACACCCGGGCAGCTTATGGAATCCAAAGCGAACGCACGGTCTCAGGATGTAAGGTCTGATGAAGTTAGTTTAAAAGCTGGACTACTTTCAGTTATTTTTTCCTGGTTTTATACGTTTTTTTTGCATCTATGTAATACAGAAAACGCATATTGACGAGGGGTTGTCTGTGTGTGTTTGTGTGTCTATGTGTTTGTTTGTCCATCTGCACCCATTTTTCATCTCAAGACCTACAAAATCTACGGAGCTGAAACTTTGGGAACTTAATCTGCATTCACGTACAAGTCCCAATCCCCAAAATGGGCGGTCTTATCCGCGTGGTTTCCACGTACAGGTCCACAAAACTTCTAGCAGGTAAGCTGCTAACCCAGAACTAGAAAAGCTAGAAAGCTGAGGCTTTAAGATATTCCCCATCAACGTAGGTATTAATGAGCTCAAGCCAGCCTGCAGATATGCGTGTTTCCCACGTACGGGCATGTCCGAGTTTTTTTCCGGGTAATTTACTAACTCGGGAACCTGAGAAGCTAGAAGACTGGAATTTTAAGGGGATGTCCCTCGCCCACGTAGGTCCTTATGCGTTCAGAACTAGCCTCCGGTTGTACATGGTTCCTGTGTACGAGCCCGTGAAAGTTTTTTGCGGGTAACTCGGGAGCTAACTCGGGAACTAGAAAAGCTAGAAAGCTGAAATTTTAAAGGGATGCTTCTGACAGTCTGACAGTTTCAATTCTTTTAGATTGATGCATCTGCTGAAAAAAAGCAGTGCCGTTAGCGACAAAAATTTGCGGGAAACTATGCAAAAAACGCATCTCCGCACCAACAGTCAGTGCGCTGGTTATTTTTTTTTCTGGTATATTAACACGCTGCCAAAATTGTCCGGGCAGCGGTGCCGGGAGTCCTATTTTATTATCGTTCCTTAGATACAACCTCTTGCGAGTTGCAGCTACGTTAGGCCGTTCAGTTTTGAATTGCTCTTTTTCGGAAACTGTTCGTTGTCCTCCTGCGACGACTACTTAGTGAAGTGTGATGTCCACCAGACGCCCGCAAAGCGGGCAGCTTTTCTCACATCTCGGATTTCGCTTTCTCTCGTGAGCCTTTCCATGTGCTATAAAGCATGAAATACGAGATGATTATCGTTGTAATTACACCAGCGTTACCGTAGTTTCTTCTTCAATTACTAAGAGGTTCGAGGGGGGACAGAATTGTTTGTTTGTGACTCGGTTGGTGTCATTTTTCGTAGTAATTCATTTATCAACGACACTGCAAAACAAATTTTATTTTCTTCTCTTTTTATTGGTGTGCCTGTTGTAGATTTACTGGTTTGACAGTAACGATGAACGTGTAAGTGATGCAGTGACAGTTCGCCTTCTTGTATCAATGATTGATTCCATCATAGCTCATTTTAACGGGCATGTACCGTATAAAATCTGCGGGCGTTCGCGGGTAACTGTTGTTTCTTATTATCTGCTTTGATCATTTCAAATGATCTTTTCATCTCTACTGTTCTTTTTTTTTTCTAGCATAAAATGGAGGTGATTTTGAGGAAGCCACCTTGCTTTCAAAAGTGTAGTGATTTTGAAACGATTACAGTTTTTAGCGAATTAGAAAGTCTAAAACTAATTTTAGAAAGTTTTCTTGCCATACCTGACTCTAAAATATTGTAAATGCCTGGATTAATATTACAGCTCACTGCTATACCGTAGCAGTTACTTTTATTAGCCTTGCATGAAGAGTCACCATGCTTTTCGCTCCGATTCTGTTTTTGGTCTCCTTGCTTTTACCAGATTTCTCTTCTAGTATCCTTGCACAAAAAGACACCATGTTTTCCGCTATGTCTTCCTGATCGTGGATGTACTCTGAGTTCTTTTTTCGAGTGTGGTTCGTCTCTGTATAAAGAGAGCTACTGATATTTTAGGCAATGCTAGCAATTTACCCGTCGAATGGTACTCATTATGTCAAACATGTTGATAACCCAATTAAAGACGGCCGCTGTATCACGAGTATTTACTACTGCAATCAGAATTGGAATGCTAAAAAGGTTTCAGTGAAATTATCTGCTTGATTGCTTTGCATTTTAATAGCACGCCAGCGAGAAGCATTTGTTTTTTTTTTTGTAAATTTTCCGATCGGAGTTCACTGAAAGTGCCACATTTCAGAGTCCCGTTTCATTGCTTAGAGAAATTTCTTCCAAAATTTAGAACATTTCTAGACAAAATTCATAATAATCCGACAGTGCACCAACTGCCGGTACGAAGATGCGTTTTTACACAGTTTCTCAGCTGGTTTCTGTTTCTAACGGTACTTTTTTTCCGGCAGTCACTGGCTACCTTAATTGATGGGTTACGCTGAACTCCACGTGTTCACACGTAAGGGCGAGACATGAATATTCATTTCACGTCTGACTGCCCAAACATGGTCATGGTCCATTCTCAGGAAAATTAAACGCTCTAGCTGCCTTGATTGCGGGGTTACATCATTTTAACGTGTTCGGACGTGAGAAATAAGAAGGAACATGAAAGCTCTTTTCATATCCGTTTGGAAAAACGGCGCCATCGGCCACGCTTGGAAAGTTTCAACCCCTAACTGCTTCAGTCCCAATTCACAAAATTGTCTACATGAATTTTTCACATGTCTGTACGCGAGATGCAGAGGGGCTGGAAGGCTCAGTTTAGTTTCACGAGCACTGTAGTGGGCGGCAAAAGCGCTGCAAAATTACAGCTCTGTACAACATTTTACTCAGCTCAAATCTCTATCTGGCATGATACCAGTTTAAATTTTAAGGTATACGTGCGTGAGACGTGGGAGTGTGTGGGAGCTGAATTTGAAATTTTCAGGTCAAAAATAGGCAGGGGACATCTTCGTGAAGTTTTAGCCTTCTAGTTTGCATGGTTCCCGAAACCGCCTTCCAGTCAAAAACGTTTCACGTGTTCCCACGCGAGAACTACGTGGAAATGTGTGTTCCTTTTACTTATAGAGGCTCGTATATAGGTGTAGAAATTTCAGCCTTGTAGCTTTTGTAGGTCTAAAGATGAAAAATCAGTGCAGACGCACACACAAACGCATGCACACACTTATACACACTCAGACAACCCTTGGCAAGATACATTTTTGCACTACCGTAGATGCAAGTAATTCGGCAGCGTACCGACTGCCGGTGCGAAGATGCGTTTTTGCACTGTTTCCCCGCGGGTTTTTGTCGGTAAAGGCGCTTTTTTTAGCAGTTGCTTATGACTAAAAGAACTGAAACTGAAACTGGCCATCACGGCTGTCGGGAATTATCGTAATGAGTCCCAATCTATTCTCAAGAAATTCAACATTCTGGTTGCTTCGGTTGCGGAGTTACGCCAAATTTCAAGTGTTCGTGCGTGAAGAAGACGTGAGTGTTGTTTTCACGTGTGACCTGCCCCAAACGGCCCTGGGCCACTCCCAGAAAATTTCATCACCCCAGCTGCTTTGATTGCGGAATTAAGTTAAATTTTACATGTTCATACGTGAGGGGAACGGGGGAGTGTTTTTTTGTGTGCACCTGCCCAAAAGCGTTGGAGGGCCTATCTCTGAAAATTTCGGCTGTGTATCTGCTCTGGTTGCAGGCTTAAATCGAATTCCACGTATTTGGGCTTGAGAGGAAAAATGAATGCTGTTTTTAGGTGTCCCTGCTCAAACACGGCCCTGAACCATGCTCAGAAAATTTGGGCGCTCTTCGTGCTTTGGTTACGGAGTTACGTCAGATTTTACTTATCCGTACGTGAAACATGAAAGGGGCGGGGAAGATGTTTTCAAGTCCACCTGGCCAAACGCCGTCATTGGTTACGACCAGAAAGTTTCAGCCGACTAGCTGTTTCAGTTCCGAAGCTATAAAACTGTCTACGTCATATTTCGCATGTCCCGTGCTGAGATACAGAGGAGCTGAAAAGCTCCATTTAGTTTCGCGGGCCCATCAGTAGGTGACAAGCAATACTGCAAAATGACGGTTCTCCATAACTTCTTGGTCAGCTTAATTTTCGATTTGTCACGATGCCGATTTAAACTGACGCGCATGTACGTGAGCCCTAAAGATGCGCGAAGGCTGAATTTAAAATCTTTGTGCTGGACCTGGGCAAGGAACATGAGTTTTCAGCCTTCTAGCTTATGCCCTTCCTGAAATTTTTTTCCCGCCAAAAGATTTTCCACACACCCGTACTTGAGAATCACACGGAGGTTGACGTTCATTTTGAAAATAGAGGCCCGTAAATAGGCATAGATTAAGCTTCCAAAGTTTCAGCCTTGTAGCTGTTATAAGCCTTGAGATGAAAACTCGGTA